GTTGCTGAAGATTGTCAATGTTTCGTGAGTGTCAGAGAAAAGCAATAATAACACCAAGAAAACTTGCAATATGAGCTCTCGTAAAAAACATGCAATGATAACAGCAAAAATTGCAATATGAGCACTGATAAAAAAAGGTTGCTGAAGACATTAGGTTTATAATACCCAGAAATTCATACACAGGACACATGGCACAGTGGATAAAGGTGTTAGTTAGATCCAGTGACAGGACCCAAAGAGTGTGAGTTCAATACCTGGTTAAGGCAGTGGAGAACTTTCAGAGGAAAATTAACAGGACTATTTACATGGCACGTGAAACTGGAACAGTCTACCCGACATTCCAACCACCTGAAGAAGGCCGGAGCGTACAATGGCTGAAACGTTGTGATGGCGACAAAGATGAGGACAATAGGCTGAATAATTTAAATAGTGTACATAATACCTATCTCAGAAATATAGACAGGTACATCAGGGAATATACTGAAGTGCAAATATTTAACAAAAGGCTACATAAGTTCATAATTATCCATAATTTGTTAAGAACGAACCGATTAAGTTTATCAGCGAACTTATAACGAACGTGTCATTCAAAGGTAAAACTTATATTATGAAGAATACGGGTAATTTGTTCAGGACAGTTTTAACTTTGGGATATGCCTATTAATTCATTATGTCGAAAATTTGACTGACGAAGCAGAAAATTTGAAAAGTGAACTAAAGAAAAAAAAATTCCCAACATTTTCAGTGGAGGACTAGAAAAATGCACAAAAATGTCTGCTTTGAGTTAAAGTTTGAGTCCAGACGTAAACAGAGTTTTTAAGAAAAAACATAACATTCGATTTGCCTTGTTAAATCAAATTCTTGAATCGATTTGAGTAAATAGGAGTTCTGGTAAAGGTTGAATATAGTAAATGGGCATCTCTCACAGTTTATATTAAAAAAAGAGCAAAGAAATTCGTGTATGTGCTGACTTCTCTACGGGGGCTGAACAGCACCCTAAAGGATCAACATTATCCCCTTCCAAGTCCAGAGGAGATATTCGCTAAGCTCAGTGGAGGAAAATATTTTTCTAAGATTGAATTAAGCGACGCATATCTACAAATATGAGGAATGCTTGAAGCTCCTTTGCATAAACACTCACAAGGGTTTATACTTTATTTTTAAGACTTCCGTTCGGGGTTAAGATCCCCATTTCCATTTTTCAACAGGTCATGGACACGATGCTAAATGGTCTGGATTTTGTGGTGGCCTGTCTTGATGACGTCCTAATGAAAAGCGAGAGCATCGGGGAACACAAATCGCATGTCTGGCAGGTCTTCATAAGAATCCAGGATTACGGATTCAAATTAGAACACAGGAAGTGTGAGTTTTTCTTAGAGAGGATTAAGTACTTGGGTCAAATAATTGACAAAGACGGAAGACGTCCCGACCCAGATAGGGCAACGGCAATAAAGAATATTCCAGCACCAGAAAATGTGTCGGCTCTTCAAAGTATTTTAGGTCTTACCAATTATTACAACGTTTCTGTCCCAAGAATGCACAGTTTGAAATCTCCACTTAATGAATTATTGAGAAAAGATAAAGAGTGGGAATGGACAAACAAATGCCAGGAAGCATTTGGGTAAATAAAGGAGGTCCTTACATTAGATCTGTTTCTGACTCATTCCGATCCAAAACTTGACATCATTGTAGCCAGCGATGCTAGCTCCTACGGCATCGGGGCATGCATTTTACCCAATTTAAAGGATGGATCGGTAAAGCCAATCGCCCATGCATCTAGGACGCTATTACCAACTGAAATGGGTTACTCGCAAATAGAAAAGGAAGCCTTAGGAATCATTTTTGCGGTGACTAAATTTCATAGATTTATTCATGGAAGGTACTTTTTGTTGCAGACAGACCATCGTCCACTCCTTACTATCTTTGGATCAAAAAACTGTCTGCTAACACATACTGTTAATAGACTGTAAAGATGGGGAACTATTCTCCTCACTTATAACTACAAAATGGAGTTTTTCCCATCCGCTAAAATCTGTCATGCAGACGGGTTGTCTAGATTGATACGTAAATATGCTGAAACCCTGGAAGACACAATCATTGCTGCCATAAGAACAGAGGTTGAAATATCTTGTGCAATACTGTGAGGGAGTTTCCTATAACAATTGACGAGTTAATAGGCAAAGTGTCCGATGATGAGTTCATAAAGGAAGTAAAGGACAAACTAAATAGTAAAGACCAGAATATCTCAGACGTTTACTCACTCTGTAACAATATACTAATGTAAGGATCTAACACTTTCGTCCCAGCCCCTCAACCTCCGACATCTTACTCTCTGGGTTGAGGTGTCTACTCGGTCCTAACCAAAGTTAAGGGAGTGGCCGTAGGTCCCTTGAGCATCCGTAGATTATTCGACTGGTCCACTGGTTTAATCCTGCTTCCTGCCCACGTTGTGTTTGGTTTGATCCAGAAAGCAGAAGTGATGTTCCTCCATTCACGGTCGACTGAAGATGTAGACATGACTGGAGAAATTTAGAATGCAGCAAAAAAAAATTAATATCTTCAGAAAGACGGACAGACAACTATTCAATGATTGAATTGTTAATGTCTTTTATATAGCAGAAAAGAATAATATAAAAAAAGAAACGGGTTACAGAAAAGAAAAGTAATTGACGTAAAAATGCATACACTGGATTCTGGACAGAGAGAGAGGGTGTTATGATTAACTTGTTGTTAAAGAACGATATACGACTCTTGTGATGGGGGAACAAGATTTCTGTGCACGGTTTAGTTTATAGTGGTATTCCTCCTTAGCAGTAGTAACAGTAGTAGTAATATTCGTGGTAGCAGAGCAGTGGTACTTATATCAACAGCACATGTTAGTGGACGCTTCGTTCCAATCTCTGACGTCACGTTCTCTCCTTCTTGAGTCTCTCTCTTCCATCTCTTTCTTCCGTCTCAACACTCGCCCATCTCAACACTCGCCTGACTCAACGCTTGTCCGTCTTCCTCTTGCCTGACTGTACGCTCGCCTGGGCCAAGTCTCTCTTCTCTCTTCAAGAAATTTCTCCCATCGGTCTCTTTTTCAGCATAACTACACGTTTATAAAGAAAAATCTGGCTGGTTACAACTGAACCTTGGCCTCACGTGATTATCACAGGATTTTGGCTGTTTCAACCATAATCATGTGAATTCTAAAGGTCCTTCTAGCTTACTCAGCTCTATTTCAATTTTTAATCAATAAAGATTATTTCGGCCATTTCTGTTGGCTCTGATGACCCATATTCAATGGGTACAACTTCTGGCCACATCAGTAAACAAAATGCTCTGATTTAATTTCACTATTCAAAATCTATTCCAATCAATAAAAATTATTTTGACCATTTCCATTGTCTGCTAATGACCCAGTTCCAATGGGTACGGCTCGTGCCCTAGATCAGATTTCCCATCAGTAAATGAAATGCTCTGATCTAATTTCGCCGTTCAAATCCAGTCCAATTTCACTAAAAAAAAAAAATATGTGTGTGTTTGTGTGTGTTTTTCAGACTCTCTCTCCGTCACAAGGAGACAGAGTAGAAATCCCATCTACAGAAAAGAACATTAAAGGAATTCCATGTTGGCCATCCGGGAACTTCAAGAATGAAGAGTCTGATGAGGAGTTACGTCTACTGGACCAACATGGACAAGGATATTGAAAACACTGTAGGATTTTTTCCTGATCGAACATATTACCATGGCGCCATATCACCCAAGAGGTAATGAACAGGCAGAGAGTTTTGTGGACACTTTCAAGAGAGCGCTGAGGAAGGCAAGAGGTACTCCCACCAGTACGGCTGTACAGCAGTTTTTGCAGGTCTATCGTGTAACCACTAATAGCAGTGCTTCAAATTCCTTCCGAGTGAAACGAAAGCAGGAAATAGGAATAAAGTGCCTAAAAATCGCTTTAAGGTCGGTGAAAAGGGTTTTTTGTGTATTCGGAAATAATAAAGCTCACTGGGAGATAGGAACAGTAGACAGACAAATTGATAACATGATTTACATGGTTCAGGAACCAAAGTTAATACACAAATGTCATGTAAACCAAATTAGAAAACGGTATGAAAGAGTAGTTGACAAGGATCCCATAGAAGATGACACTATGGACGTCGTCTTTGACACGTTTGAGGTTCCACTAGCACAATCAGAGAAGGTCCAAAAGAAAAAGGAAATTTACGGAACCTTTAAAAATTAACCCGAAAAGAAAAAAATATTGAACATCTTTCATTTCATACCATGTCTACAGAAAAAGGAAAAGAATGAGTAAAAAAACCCATCTCCTCACTTATGAACTTTGAATTACCAGAAAAGCACAATACACATTGGATTCTTGGAAATTATTAACATTATAATTTGCCATTAAACTTATCCAATTTTTCATTATTTAGGAATAATGAATAGAGAGAGACCTTAATACTGTTGTTAACACGTAAAATGTTTGTCATAAAACTAAAAAAAAAATTGTGAACGTAATTCCTGTATATAGCTTTTTCAAAGTGGTTGTTTCTGATTTTTTTTTGTGAAAAAGGGTTTATTTGGTTGAATAAAAAGTATGGTGTGGTAATTATAAAAAAGGGGCTGAAAAGGGGGAGGGTGTTGTGCTGTCCTCCCTCTAAAGAGTCTATGTTGGACTTTTTCGCCTACTATAAGATTAGTAGGATAGAAGGTCTTGGGAGAACAGTCAAATAGATTGAATGCTGGGTCAACCGACACCCACTCACTAGTCATGTAATCCTTTTCTGTTGTACTTACTGTTTAATATATGATATATTTGCAACACTTATTCTGTTATTTCTTTAACCATTTACTTGGTCACAACAAAAAGAAATAATTTTCTTGTCAGATTTTAATCTAAAAAATGTAATCTAAAAAAATGAACATTTTTGATGAAATATGCTGCGGGTGCTTTTGCACAAACGATGTTTTGATTTTGAAATGGACTTATCTTATTCGGGTTGCTTTTTCAGTGATTTTGAAGAACCACATACTGCCTAATATAATTTGCTCAGCACCGATTCAAGGTCATGTACGAACTCCAAATCTTCTTGGACAACATTTGCAGCTACATCGAGATGAAGACGGAAAACTCTTTGTGAATTCTGCTCAAATAGTTGTCCGTGACATCATGACAACTAATGGAGTTTTGTATCTTATTGACGAAGTCCTTGTGCCTGATGGTGGTAAGTCAATTTGAATCATATATAACATTTTTATTTTCAACTTATTTTGTGCCAAAGCAACTACATGGTCATCTCACTGATTGAGATCAACTTGAAGATTGTATATGCAAAATAATTGGATTTCTTCAAAATATTTCTGATACTTATTCTATCATTCTATTTGTTTAAATAAGAATGACATCATGTTCTTTTATTTCTTACTGTTTTTCTTACTGCCTAATATTTTTGGTTTGTAAAAAAGTTTGACTTGACTCAAAATTTAAAAAATTATTATCCCATAGAAATTATTTGAAGATATTTTGTAAGACCATTTGACATAACTCGAGTACAAATAATTTCATATTGATGGCATTTATTTTGCTATTAACAGCATTTAGAAATTAATTATGTACATACTACATTCATTTTATATATGACTAACGTTTCTTTATCTTTATTTTAATGGCTAATCACAAATTCTTTTCATAAGAATACACTTAAATGTGAATAAAGTTAACGGATTTTGTGAATTCATCTCTTCCATAAATAACAGTTTGGTATCATATCTTAAAGGTGTGTTTACAGTTAACGCTGAGAAATAAGAAATTTCATATTTCTTAACCATAATGACAATACATTTTTGAAGTAGTATAATCTCTAAAACTAGAACAATTCTTTTATACACGTACATAGATTTATTCTAACTGATCTCATCACAAAATTCCAGCTGCTGTATTATTCGGTTTTCTTCAAGTACCTGTAACATTTGATAACCTTCTGGGATTTTCAGATCAAACCCAAGGTGATAGATTGTTGTCAGTCTTCTGAATTTTTGATTAGTTTGTCCTGCTTGTTTCACTAAGCCAAAATGCATGAATTTTACTGTGTCAGGGATTGAAATCAAGAATTAATTAACTATTAAATGATATTGGAATGGGAACAATCTATGTCCATAGATTAAATAAAAGGGTTCGATTTATATTTCCAAGAATTTTACCACATACGATAGGAATCTGAAGATGGCCGGCACATTGTGATTAAAGCAATCAACATAAGGTTACCAGTTTTTATAAATCTATATACTAATGATAATCCCGAATCTCAGAAACTTGGACAGAAATTATACAATTTGTGCTATTTATGTTGCCTGCAACATCCTGTAAAGCCATCTGAGGACATAGTTAATTATTTTTATAGCCAATTAATATTTTTATAGCATAGATAAAAATGAAATGCACATATTAATAAGAGGTAGGTGAAGCTTTAAAAGCTAAAGAGGAAAATGAATTTAGTCGTCAACACAAGTGAAAAATCCAATAAAATCTAATTTATATAAGACCATTCACTTATTTGTTAAATCATTTACAAAGCAACAAAAAAATCCTTGCCGTTTTTTATTTCTTAGTTACTCCTCAAAGTAATCTCTTTTGGCATCCAGAACTTGCGTCAACATGTCTCCTGGTGTGCAATGACTTAGCGGTAAAAAATCAAGTGGACGCAAAGAAATCTATGAGTGCCCGCCTCAAGTCTGTCTCATTTGCGAAGGATTTAACGCGAAGGTAGTTGACTATGGAATGGAAGAGGTGGTAATCTGTTGGCACAAGGTCCGGGGAGTAAGGTAGATGGTACAGTGTCTACCAGCTAAGTCGCCGTATGATATCTCTGACCATTTGCGTTGCATGAGGCCTGGCATTTTGATGGAAGAACAGTACACACATGCGATTAATTAATGCTGGCTCCTTTGGCTTCAGTGCCTCTTGCACACATTCCAAATGCTGTGAGTAAGGATCCGCATTGATGATTTGGCTCTTTGCTAGCAGCTCATAGTGCACCACTTGTCGACTAATAAACAAAATCAACGAATAACATTATTATTATTATTTTCATCATCACCACTGTCATCATTCATCATTGTAGAGCTGGTCTTGTGGTGTCTGGCACACTTGGGAGTGACATACAGGACCCACTTTTCTTCAATGGTTAGCACTCGATCAAATATGGGTACGTTGCGGTGTCGAGAAAGCAACAAGAATCGGGCTGTCTCTTGTTGTTTGTTGGCTTCCGACAGTGTGTAGGGTACCCACTTGCTAAACTTGTATGCCTTCCCTATGCGGTGCAGGTGAAGTCTGACTGTTTCATCAGAAACCTGGAAGTGTTCAGCAAGTTCACCACAGATTCAGTTGTTGTCTTCCTCTATGGCCGCCTTCAAGGCATCATTATTCAGGACTTGTGGCTGGCTACTGTAAATGGACAGATCTTCCAACCTGAACTTCTGGAAGCAATGCCTGGCAGTGCGTTTACACATTATCCCCAAAGATGTTCGGTGACTTTATGCGGTTACGAACAAGCTCATATTAAAGTCATGAAGCAGACAACTCCGAACGAGCTGCTTTGACACCGCTATGTTTCCTTGCTGCTGCTCAAGCTATGATTGATGTATGTGCGCAGTGGACCTGCATTGGTCAAGAGCAAACCCCACTACTTTTCCGTTAAGTGACGCACTCATTTACGTATCAGTGATCACTTATTCCCACACAACGTAAAAAACAGCACAGATTTTTTTTGTTACCTTATACGATGCTCTATGCTAAAATTTACAAACACGAGAAAATCATCCATTTGTTTTACAATTATATAAAAGACATGATGCCTAGAATAAAAAAGCAATGAAAAAGTTCTCAAGAAGGGATTCTGGTGTTTTTGGTGATTTTGTCAGATTTTTGGAACTAGGACCACATATTACCAGAAATTTAAATTGCTAAATTTCATTAGCTTATCTGAGATCTTTAATGGCGTATCAACTTCTTATGAGTCATTTAATACTGAAATTTAATTTTCTTGGGAGCTTTGAAGTAATACAATATGATATATGTTATTCTGCTTTCACAATGGTAGATGATACTCAGCTTTTGTGCATATACATGGTTGTGTGAAAAATGATTACTATAAACGGCGATATGTATATATTATGTTGTAGTTCTGTAGGAGTTTGATTTATTTAAGAAGTTGTAAATTGTATGGATTAATGTCATGAAAGAGTTCTTTCATGATGCTTGTTTGTTTGGTTGAGTTTCTTTAACAGTACATCAAACTATGCATTATTTAAAGCCAAAATCTAAATTGTTGAATGCAATTTTATGGCTTCAACTAAATATATTTTAAATGCAATTGCATGCTGTTTATAGTAATCATTTTTCACGCAAATCATATATATATATATATATATATATATATATATATATATATATATATATATATACAAAAATATCCTATGTGGTAAAACCGTGGTCACTGACAGGTACTTCTAAATTAAAAATTAAATTAAATGTACTGAGTGTGCATTAAGCACTATTTTATCTAATTACATTTAAATAATTATACATTTTCTTCTTTTTATAATAGTGTGTAGTATATATATATATATATATATATATATATATATATATTAACATGGAAAAGTTTCTTGACTTAACCAATGTTTACTTCAGAGTTTTGTGGCTATATATGTATAATCACTCAGCGTTGTTTAAATTGAAGCAATACATAAACATCCCAAACGAAGATTTAAACATCAAACACTGCAGAAAGTCAATACCATACTATGACAACTAAATATGGACAAAAAAGTAGCACGCATAATAACTACAATACCAATATTGACAATACTTTTGACGTAACAAAGGGCAGTAATATGCTCATAGGCATATACATAATCAATAAATTAACACACATCGTTAACCAAAAATACATAGGCTTATACAGTGACAACGGTCTAATAATTGTAAGAAATTACAGAAAAAATAAGTAAACAAATCATAGAAACCTTTAACACATTATGATATAAAATCTAACCTAAAAATAGTAAACTTCTTAGATTTAACATTCAATCTAAACAGTACATACAAACCATACAGAAAACCAAACAACAATCAATAAAATCTCCAACCACCTTCCTATTTTATTTCAACACATAGCCATATTCATCAACAAATTCCAGCAAAAGAAAAATATTTAACGAATACAAAAAACATATGAAATCAACAGCCATCAAAGAGAAAAGGAAATAGATAATTCATATCAATAGAAGCACAAAAGAACTGAAATTCAGCGGCAGATTAATTCTTTTCCGACGAGTGGTTAGATGCATATAGTCACGAAACTCCAAAGTAAGCATGAGTTAAGTGAAAAAAAAGTTCATATTAGTTCTATTAACGTTGTATCCGTGTCTTCGATATTGAGCAATCTACCACAAAACCTGTTTTCCTTAAATGCCTCTTTATCAACAAACCAGTGAAAAACCAGCAATTCTGGCTTCAAAAACAATATTTTCAAATTAATATTTCAAATTAACACTATATATATATATATATATATATATATATAAACATGGTCACACTGTCTATCTATCTATTTCTCTCTTTATATACATATATATATATATATATAGTTATGCAAAGTTCAGCTATGTGCTTCAAAAGATTTTAAGCAAAGATGTGCTTTCCTTTATAAGGGTAATTGAACTTTGCTGTGAAATTCCTTCATGGCTTAGTCTAAAAGTATGCCGGGCTATAGGGTTGTTTTCCTACATAAAGGCTCGTTCCGTGGCATAGGGTACAATTCGTTTACTCAAAACTATTGAACACCAAAGCCTATAGATGACAAAATTGTAATTAAAAATAAAACAGAGATGTTTATTCAAGCATGTGTATTCACTAAATACAATGTTTATACAAATACACACACATGCACGCAGATATATATATATATAATTCCTGCTAGAAAAAGTCCACTACAAGAACATGACGGACTCAGAGATTGAATCCACCATAAAGAAGTGTAAAGAAAATCAAAAAGACCGATATATATATATATATATATATATATATATATATATATATATATATATATATATATATAAAGTATATAATTGGTATATACGGAATGAATTCCAATAACCAACAATTACTATTCTTAAAAGAGTGCTCAATACAAAGTAGAGCAGATATAAATAAGAATTATATCAACGAATATATGTATTAAACAACAAAATTTACAATGGACATAGACATTAACATTTGTGTTTGTGTGTGAACGTAAAGAGTTTGTATTTTGGTGAAAGTTCGTATGTATGTGTATGTGTGTTTCATGGCGTTTTCCCACAAGTGGGCAAAACGCAGATCTCCGCGAGAGATCACATTTTTAAATGTGTCCGCTGAAATGCAAAGTAAAAAGAGAACAAGGCAATAAATCGCCCATTATTTATAGTGTAGGGAGAGCATGCCCTAGTGAACAATCAGGAAATTAAGGAGGAGTTAACTCCGACATATATATATATATATATATATATATATATATATATATATATATATATATATATATATTTCTAGGTGTACCTTCCATTTTCTTTATCGTGGACTAAGTGGTATAATGATGAAGAGAATGGCATTAATATAAAAAAACAGGAAAATAATAGAAAGGTCATATCAGAAATAAAATTATCAGTTTATCATTTTTGAAGAATCTGTTGTCAAGGCAAGGTGAGTTCATCGCCTTCTTCCTGCCACGAAAAATAGTTGTAATATTGTAATTCAAAAATAACCGTATGAAATAAATATAATAGTTGTACGATAACATCTGATTTTAAAATTGGAAAGTTTTTTACAATATTAATGTGCTTAATAATGTTGCGAAATATAAATATGCATGGCTATTTAAACAATTAAAACAGTTGCAAATTGTCAAGTAACAAAATTAACATTAAATTTATTTTCTGTGCATAAAATAGCCAAAACCTTCTTGGAAATTGCTGAAACCAAGAATGCTGGTCACTTCGTTGAATTGGTGAAGAAATCTAATTTGATAAATGATCTGAATAGTTTGAAGAATGTGACAATATTCTTACCAACAGATGAAGCTTCAGAGGTAAGTGACTTATTTATGCAAATCGCATACACTTTCAAGTATACATGGCACAGATACGTGCAGATTTATCAGATTACGAAGATCATTGCAATATAACTAGCATTAATGCTTATATTAAATAATCATTTAAAAGAAAGCTATTTTTGTCCATGATAAACACATACAAGTATACAAACACACATATATACATATGTGGGTATGTGTGTGTGTGTGTGTGTGTGTGTGAGAGAGAGATAGAGAGAGAGAGATAGAGGCGAGGAGTGTGTGTGTATGTGTCTCCTCATTTATGCAGTTCTCTGCTTCCATTAGAAGCATATATGTTAATATTCTATTTATTTCTTAGGCTTTGGTGAATAAATACTCACAAGATTCTGTGGCAAAGTTAGAGGATTTGGAAAAACTGCAAACAATTCTTCGTTACCATATTGCTCTTGGTACCTATACTGCAAAGCGGTTCTACAATGACAAAGTTATCGACACTCTGCTGGAAGATAATAGAAAATTGCGTATTAACGAATATTCAATGGTAAGGAAAATTGAAATAATCATCACTGAAGTGATTAAAAGTGTTATAGACATGACTTCAATCTGAAAATATTTTAAAGGAAGAAATCAATGAATAACATTATTATTATTTTCATTGTCAACATCTTTGCAAAAGTAACTCTAACACACAAAGTTAAATATCGATAAAATGTTAATATGCAGCTTTTAATGAAGTAAACTTGGTTTAACGAGAACATTTGTTCATTTAATGAATATTTTCTAACTCTTAAGTTATTGTTAACGTGCTTATAAATTTTATGAAGTAGTCTTCAAGAAAATAATGTTTAAGCACATATGAGTTATCAATAAGTATTAAGCTAGAAATTAGATTAGAAAATAAAGTTTACAATTTATAAATATAATTGTTGATAAAGGCCAAAATCTTCAGATAAAACTATTTTACTCTTGCATTAGATCAAGATAATAGGCCTAAGATAATAGGCTTAAGATAATAGGCTTAAGATAATAGGCCTAAGATAATAGGCTTAAGATAATAGGCTTAAGATAATGGGCTTAAGATAATGGGCCTAAGATAATAGGCTTAAGATAATAGGCTTAAGATAATAGGCCTAAGATAATAGGCCTAAGATAATAGGCCTAAGATAATAGGCTTAAGATAATAGGCCTAAGATAATAGGCCTAAGATAATAGGCTTAAGATAATAGGCCTAAGATAATAGGCCTAAGATAATAGGCTTAAGATAATAGGCCTAAGATAATAGGCCTAAGATAATAGGCTTAAGATAATAGGCCTAAGATAATAAGCCTAAGATAATAGGCTTAAGATAATAGGCCTAAGATAATAGGCTTAACATAATAGGCCTAAGATAATAGGCCTAAGATAATAGGCTTAAGGTAATAGGCCTAAGATAATAGGCTTAAGATAATAGGCCTAAGATAATAGGCCTAAGATAATAGGCTTAAGATAATAGGCTTAAGTGTGATGTCAATTGCGAATTAAATTTCCTTTAATGTACACAGTTTTTTTTTTTAATAATTATAGTGCCAATTATAATTTGTAAATATGTTACTTTTCAAAAATCCGTGGATTCTTATGATACATATTTGATAATCTTCAAGTTATTTATTTCTTATTTTACAAACAGTTCTCTTTTGATACAACTTGGATCCATACTGTCCAATGCAGCCGTATATCCAGTAGACCAATACAAACATGCAATGGAGTGGCTTATTTGGTGGACAAGGTCAGATTTAAATTTAAATCTGATACAAATTTTCACGCTTTTGATGTTTTGTTGTGCCTTTATTTTTAAGAATCTTCATAGCTATTAATTTACTATAACTGTTTACTGTTTTAAAAAATAGACATGATATTAGATATGGATGAATTTGATGTAAGATTAATTGCTCTCTCTGGCCTTTTTTTACCTGCTTTTATATCACAAAAATTATCAAAAATATCTTAACTATGTTCAATTCACATCCTCCCTTTTATGAAGACATGCTAATTATTCTGAATATTTCAGAATAATTAGCAGCATATTCTTCAAGAATTCAACAAGAAAATGCTATTTACAAAATTGGCTCAACTGACATAACCTTAAATTATTTCATTAAGAATGACAATCGTGGTAGCATTAAAGAATCGAAATAAGCCTCTTTTTCAGCAAGAGAAGTGAACAAGATAGGAATATTTTTGCTAATCATTCAATATTCCTGATATGATCAAACAGAAAACTGTAAATTCGTAATCACACATAACCATACATCTGCATTAATATCCATATGAAATAACTAAAAATTAAATTATCTTACATAATATAACAATTAATACTCTTATTTTAAAATCTATGTTTCAATGTAACCTATGTATGAGAAGGGAAAGCTCTATGGTGCAAGTCATTGACCTGGTCAGGGCCGTTGCGATAATTTAGAAAACCGAAACAATTATTTCTATGAATAAAAAAGAAAAAAACTATTTCTCTCAGAAATGTTTTAAATATCATACTAAGCAAAATCAAAAGACCTATAAAGATTCACTTGAATTTCAGCTTATTGCTATTGCGAGTTTCCACTAATAATATTTAGCCTTATTCAAAATATTGATAACTTGTTTGTATGCCAGGTTTTATTATGGAAACAAAATTAGAGCAACATAATTTTTTATTTATAAATAAACCCAAATGATATAGTCGAAAGAAAAATATTTAATTAATACAATATCTCCGAATAAATTATTATTTTATCATTCCACGTGTTAATATGTGCATCATAACATTCTATCATTTTCATCAGTCTTTCATCAATTGAATGCTCTTTTATACTGTTTTAATATTAACATTACTTGTAGTAGTTTAATTGCTTCCATTTGATAATCTTTGATTGAATATTGCTTTATATTCTTATATACTTATCCTTTAACGATAGACCTCAATTTTTCTATTGAATCAATTGTTAACATACAATGCTACTTTGTCCAGCTTTCTAGCGACCAGCCAATGTTTTCTTCATGTTAAGTCTCTATTCTAGTTCTCGTCGGTGCGCACCAAAAGCTGGGAAAGGGGCCACTGCATGTCCACAAGGAAAGAACAGATAAAAAGTAAATGTCACGTCTAGAAATGATATACATGATTTTATTTCGGTCTGGGTAGGTAGTTGACACTTGAGACAACTACTGCTATATCGGACTTACAGCTTTTTCCTCCATCAACCCTCTGCTCATTTTAATATCATGAGGTATGGCTGGTGACAAGAACGGACGGTATCGGAATTACACGATGGCGAAGTCTGTCTTCGGTTAAAAGCGAACTCCCATGCACTCTTTTACTTTTCCATTCTTCTTCAGTCAAAGTGGATGCCAATTAGAAAATTTGATTTATAAAACAGAAACACTTAAGACCGAGATGACACCCCCCCCTCTTCTACGTGTGCGTATCAACCATAGCATCACACATTATAATTAGATGCTGGGAAATAGTGCATTGAGTTGGTATTTTAAAAACTTTATATTATTTATAAATTTAAGGTTTCTTGGTTGTAAATTGTACCACTGATATAATATCTTGTACAAGGATTTATAATAATTCCATACAATTATCTTGAATCATCATCAATTGTGAAGTGACCTATAATGTGGCCTCCTTACAAATACTATCTTAGAAAATTAATCCCCTCCAACATTCTTCAACAAACGTTATTTTCATCTTGCTTTCTCTGCTTACTAGCAACTTCAAATATTTTCTTCTTGACTAATTCACTTTCCTTAGCGATTACTCTTTTCATTTTCCTGAAATCTCTTTTTATGACATTCTGAAAGCCAATTATTTCTTGTTCTTGTCAATATTTTCAATTTTTTTAAGTGATTTTTTTTCATAATTTTTTAAATTTGTCTTCCCATCAATAAATAATTTTACAATATATAGAACCAAACAAATTAATTTAAATATTTGTAAAAAAAAAACAAATATTATATGCTGCAGGTCACATAAATTAAAAAATTTAGTACATCCTGTAAATTTTACTAATATTGTTTGGTTAATACCAATTTTATTGTGAAAAAATTGACTTACATAATAAAACCTGACATATAATTTCAATTTGCTTTTCTTTTCTTTTTCAGGTACTCATTCCTCCAGAAGGTGATATCATGCATATGTTGTCTCTGGACAAGCGCCTCACTACCTTTGTGGATCTCTTAAAGAAGTCAGGAATGGGTGACAAGATTGGAAATCATAAAAGCCCGCTCACAGTTTTCGCCCCAACCAATAGCGTAAGATTTTCATATTTTTCATGTGCCAATGAAAAGTTGTTTTTTAAACATTTCACCCCAAGCAAGGCAATAAAGCCACTTAGACGCAAGTGGTTATTGAGTACAAAAGAGTGTGAGAAAAAGAAAGACATTATTAGGGTGAGAGAATCATAAAAGTACAGGAATTAAGAAGACAGAACGGAACTACTGGCATTACATTTAAACTTTTGAAGATCAAAGTTGACTGGAAAGCAAGAAACTGGAAGAGAGTTTCACAAGCGAGAAATGCGAGAGAAGAAACTGTTAGTATGGAACTTACGGTTACATCGAGTCATTTCAACTGCAAAATGATGAAAAAAAGTTGCCAACCCACTATGGCTCTTAAATTTGTAAAGCCAAAGAGGAAACCTCATCAGAACAATTACCATGGAAATATTTATAGAAAAGGTACAGGGGACATTCCGATAGTGAGAAAGTAACTGAAGCCAAGATACCAGGTCAGGACCGATGGCATTACAGTTTCTTCGTTGAATTTTATCAAGAATCCTTAGCAGAAGCACCAAGCCGGATTTAGCCGGAGTATTCAATGCATGGACGAATGGTAGATTTATAAATGGGTTCGATAGATTCAGGCGAGAAACCCAGTAAACCTAGCCGCAGACCTACTCTTTCTATTTCATGTCAGCAGTAAACATTACCTTAAGAAGGCATAATGAGTCACTCTCGGCAGGGGTTAGCATCAGCCATGCCAATAGAAGGTGAAAATGGTTCTCTGAGACGATTAAAAGAGACCAGTTTTGTTTTGGAGGCGTTAAAATTAGCAAGCCTTTTCTTACCCCAGTTAACAATAGATTGTAGGTCATTTTTGAGACCAGCTGCTAATTTGACCCTATTAGTTATTTTCCCACCACCGCTTTTCTATAAATATTTTAATTCTAATTGTTCTGATGAGTATCTCAACTTTACAAATTTAACCGTAGTATTAGAGTGGTGCCTAGTGTAATTATATGTGTAAAAGTGACTAATGAAAAGTCATAAGTAAAATGAGCGTCAGTTATTCAAATACACTTAGTCTGTCTTTGTATTTTGTTAGTTATTTAATGCTAGCTGATGAAAGAAATAATCAGTAAAAATAGCAATAAAGCATATCAGTTTATTCTAAGTTAGTTTGATGCAACTCATCACTCATTAAAATTATCTTTTATTTTACATTTAAAACTTGCAATACTTACGTTGAATAAAAAAATCACTATATTTCTTTAACATTGATTCTTTTAATACCATTCATACTTGCAAATAACGTAATAGTGCTCAGAGATATATTAATAAAATCAACCACAAACTATTTTATTAGTGAATATTTATTAAATTCTCGTCTATTTTTATCAACTGTCTTAAAATTGTCAGTTGGATAATATAGTCATGTTCAACATCTTTATTTATGATGCTAAATATTTCGTTTGTTATCTTATCCTGGTGTGAATGAAATTGAAACATAAAAAATTAACAATTATAGATATCTAAAATATATTAAAAAGAATATAATTTATAAATCGACTTATAAGATAATTATATAAAATTTGCCTGGATTCTGCTTCCAAATTATTTAAATTTTATTCCTTTTCTTCAATGACAGGCTTTTCAGAGACTCAGTGCTCGAGAAAAAGAAAGTTTGGAGAAAGATTTGGATTCAATGTCGTCTTATGTCAGCGAAAGTAAGTTGCAAAGATTTTTTAAACTTATATTTATCATGACTGTGACATTTGAACTTGTTGATGGATGCCAGATGATACTTATTGATTTGTGGGGTGCAGAGTGTGATATGTTGTTAGTGCTAACTCATTTAAGGTAGTAGCAGTGTTTACCAATTATTCCGGGTTCTGTCCTGATTGAAACACTCTTGACCCAACGTACATAGAAAACAGACATAACAATGCAATAGTGAAGTTATGTATTTAGACAAGTGAATTTAAAATGGAACTGAAGATAAAGATTTATTTATCAACAAATAACAATTTATTTGGATGTTATATACATTGTGTGGTAAATATAATATAACCCTTTAAAAGAAGGGTGTGTTCACCTAGACACATTTGAGATGTTTTTAAATACACCCTTTGAAAGGGGAACGTTCACATTCACACATTTAGGTGTGTTCAATAAAGTTCATGAGTAATGGAAAAGTTCATAGATACACATTGTGGTGTGTTTAATGATAAAACCCCACGAAAGGGGAAAAGTCCATACCTTGGTTCCATTGTAGAATATACATCAAAGAAGCGGGAAAAGTTTCAGTTGATGAGTAATCTGTTTGAATTGACCACACGGAATCCATTCTGCAACTGGCTTTTGTTTGCTTTGTGGTCTGTATTTATAGATTTATACAGGTGCTGGCTCACAAAAAGGTCCCTAAAAAATGCGTGGGAAATGTTGTCAGTAGTCGATTAATAATTTACATTATATTTTGAATATTTTTGAAACGCAACCGGAAGTCCACTCGAAGCTGATGTGCAACAAATGACCGATTTTTGGTCATTAGAACTCTGACTCTTGAGACGGAAACTTCCGGTCGACTCGACAAACTTAATGACAAAGGTTAAATATATATATTTCTGTTTGCATTCATATTTTTTATTACCAAGATTTTAAAATGAATTACTTTCATAATCTTAATTGATTGGATTTTCTTAAAAATTGTCATCATTATTACATTTTTAATATTTTCTCTAACTTTAATTTGTTGCTTTTTATCTCGAATTTGTTGTTTTTACGGGTATTCAACAATCAAATAAATAAGCTTCAGTTGTAATTTGAACATGAACTGTAGGTAGGTGCTGTCTAATTGTAAAATTTGCTGTTTTAATATTTCGTAGCCACAATCTTTTAAAGATAAGAGATGCAAGATAAAACCTCTTTTTAAAATTCACATCCATACTGCTTAAATAACATAGAATATAAAACAAACTGACAGTTGTGATAAAAAGCAACAATAATAATCAGAATACATGTCCACATTTTCGCCGTAAATGTTTGTATGAAGCTATGAATGTAGTGCCATCTCATTGGTTAGATCAATTAAATGTTACATTTCTAATTTATCATTTTGAATTATTTTCTGATTTTTGAAACTGAAAAGTCTTGAAAGAATATTGATTCTTTGAATGGATTCCTATGAATTTGAAATATACCAAGGTATTATAAAATACTAAGGATATGATATAATGCGCCAAGCTGGAAAAGAAACCAAGAAAAAGTATATATCTGAATAATAAAAGGCGTTTGTAGACAAAGAATCTACTGAGAGGAAACGCCATTTAACAAGAAATATGCACATGACACAACTCTTTCAAATATATGGAAACTGAAAGACAAATCAAAACAAAAAATTACTAAGCCTTGTTCTGCCATCCATTTTCTCAAGCTCGCGGTGTTTTTCTCTGTTCCTCTTGCCTTTAACCAGTCCCTGTGAATATCAAATTTTCCAAGTCTCTTTTCCTCATTATGTGCCCTACAAATTTCAGCTGTCTCTTTTTGTTTTCATTTTCTTTACAACTTCATGTTTGCTTAGTATTTGTTTAGGTGATCGGTCCAAAGTATTCTCAGTATCCTTCTGTAGAACCACATTTCTGTTGCTTCAAGTCTCTTCTTCATTTGCTAAGAAATTGTCCACCATTCATATAGGAGGGCTGATATTATGTTCAGTACACTCTTCTTTATTTCTAGCGAAATTTAATACTTTTGGAAGGTATATTTTGCTATACTAATGTGCCTTCGGAAATCAGTGTTGAAAACTAATAAATTTATTTCAAAACAAATACCGAACGTATGAACCGAAATAGTATACAAAAATAAAATTATAAAAATAATGTGAAAAGTCAAATTAAAAATATAAAGAAATAACATAGAAAATAATAAACTAAAAAAGAACGTAGAAGTAAATAAAATAAATAAACTCTTGGTCAGGATGATAAATAATGTGAAAAGATGGGCCAAAGTGTTTGAAAAACCTGTTTGACTTGAAATGTAAATTGTAAAAAGAAATTAATTACTAGAGCTTGTGTATTTCTAGATTTTTTTTTTCGAGAAAATATACTATTTATACACATATACAGTCAAAATCAATTGACCTAAGAAAACTGAAAATTTATATTTAATGAAAAATCAAAGACACCATGTGCCTTTGACACATGTCGACTTTTAACTAAAATTCACTGTGTCGCCATTTATTCATGTATACATTCCCTGACTAAATGTAACCAGAATTAAATAAAAATTTGAATTTAATTATGTTAGTATGAAATATTTTAAACAAATCTTTAATGAAGTTATATATTCCAGTTGCACTTAATACATCAGATTATTCTATGAAATGTCACTGAAAAAGTACCTGGTTCTATCAACTTTCCAAATTCTGATCAAACATCGTTTGTTTTTAATTCCTACTTGGTTGGACCGAGAACTTTTCAGCGTACCCTCATCAATCATATGGTAAATATTGGTTTTGTTACCCGTGCGTTTTTGTTATCCCTTAAAATTTTTCCCAAAGCGTCATAATTCCGTGCAAATGTACATTCTGAACGCGAATTAACAATTAAATTATGAAGAAACCTTACCGTTTTGGAGTTATCAACAAGAAAAAAAATCGGACTTCTTGTTGATCATTCGTCCCCCATTATTGCCATCATGAATCTCGATTCAATGCGGGATACCTACGCTGGCGTAATAAGAAAATTTGGCCTATTTACTTCTTTTACAGACTTTCCTTGCAGAAAATCACTACGCACGGGTAACAAAACTAATATTTACCATCATATTTAAAAGGATATTTTTTTAAAAAAAACTACACGAATAGCAGAAAAAATGTCAATATCACTGTCAGTTATTCCAAATTTACTTTTGTCTTTTATTTTCAGATTTTCTTATTAAGATGTTTTATTTGCTCTTTTTTTCAATTTTAGGTACAATGTGCTGTGCTAGTCTCCATCAGGGAATTGGGTGGTTTGGCCGTACCTGGAGAAGCAAACCGAGTTTTCATGGTGCAGACATAATCTCATGCGATAATATGGCCACAAATGGTGTCATACATATTATTGACGGAGTTCTGATTTCCAGAAAGAAATCACCTTATTTCATGGGTTTCTTTGACTTGCAGAATTTATTCATGTAATAGAATACCAACGTTTTAGCCTGATGTTCTCTGTGGTGAATTTATCAATTAGTAATCTTGCAAAGATTTTTCTTTATTTTTCATCTCTGATTAACTGTCCTTAATTAAATATATCTATGTCGTATTCAGTATTGAGAACCATCCTTCACTAGCCTTTGCCTTTGTATTTGTCACTATTTTGTTGGAATGGCGAATACATTATATTAACGAAAAAGAACTGTTTCCAGTGGTAATTATTGTCAATAAAAGAAATTAAAAAATTATAGCCATGTTTTGTTGCTTATGATGACTAAAGTGTTTGCAACTCTCGAAATCACTCTGGTAAGTTCTTAAAAAGCTTCGAAGACAAAATGTTGAATGTTATAATCTCCTTTCACAAGAGGATGAAAGCTGCAGTTATATCTGATTCGGAATTCTCTGTGTCATGGCCCCTGTTCTTTTTGCTCTATCCCTTTCAGTAATGCTCAAATATGCCTTTCGTAACATGGACACTGGTGTTAATTTCAATTTCAAACCAGTGGTGGCCTTTTCAACCATCAACGATTCAAAGCTAAAACACTTATTCAAACTAGCGTCATTCATGATCTGATGATGTTACACTTGTGGTAACATCCCTAGAAGAACCCCAAGAATTCGTCAACTGTTTCTCTGTTGCATGCAAAGCTTTTGGTCTTACCATTAGCACAAAGAAAATGGAGGTAATCTATCAGACGCCTCCTTGTCCAAAGAAGATTCGGGATGTCAGACAACCTCCACCAGTTCATCAATTTCCAGACACTCCTATACAGATGGATGGAAAGAACTTGAAATATTTGAAGCCATTTAGATATTTAGGAAGTAAGAAGAATTCAAATGCATCTCTTGATAACAAAATAAATTGGATTGCCAAAACTACAAGTGCATTTGGGAAACTTTGCCACCGCCTATGCAATGAGAGAGAGCTATGAAACTGGATACCAAAATGCGGGTTTATAGAGCATCTGTTTTGACCGCATTGTTATACGGCTCAGAATTATGGATTCCATATAGTTCTCATATCAATCAGCTGGATATCTTCCACAAAGTTGTCTTCGTGCGATCTGTGGCTATACTTATGACGATAGGGTGTCTAATGCTGATCTCGCAAAATGTAACATTGGTGGAATTTAGACTTTCCTGGTGCAATCACAACTTCGCTAGGCTGGTCATGATGCAAGGATGAGTGACGGCGGAATACCTAAGGTCCTTTTATGTAGAGCCGGCTTGACAGTGGGGATAAGTATTGTTGGACGACCGTGGCTCAGATAGACAGAAAAGCTAAAGAGTAACCTCTCAGCTGTCGATGTGCCTCATACTAACTTTCAAGTTGTCCTCTATAGAAATAACTGGAGATATTTGGAGCAGAGTGGTATCAGAAATTTCTAAATCAGTCGTATTGACCGGCTAGGAGATGAAAGACAAAGTCGAAAAGCATCAGCAAATATTCCTGTTGCTATGTCTCGGGATCCTCGATGTTGCACAATATGTGGACATGTATGCAGATCACTCACGGGATTGAAGTGTCACAAACATAAAAACTGAATGAGTTTGTTGGATTCTCAAACGTAAATCGACGGGAGAATCCTTCATATATATATATATATATATATATATATATATATATATATGTTGTGTCGTGGCACAATAGTAAAAATAAGAAAATCAAGTCGAAGTTGGTTTAAAGAACAAGTGTATTTAACATCACAGATACAAAGGTAGGAAACAGATACTACTCAGCTAGGCAGTGGTAGTACTGTCGTTGCTTACCCCGGGTAGGTATTACTGGCACTATATATAGTGAGAATCGGTGTAATTCCCTTGTGTTAGAGGCCGGTGCAACACCCCCCTTTGAAAATATCACGTCTGGGAATTAATAACGTTTTTGTTTTGGGTTCACCCTAATCAACTCCGTTGATTTCCGTTTTCTTTCTGACCTCCTATTCTCTGGAGCTGTCTCTGGTATGGGCACCTGAAAAGTATCAAACACTGTGTCCATGATGTCCTCCTCGGGCGATCTGGTCACCTCAATGTTCGAGTATCTTTTCCGGATTTGGTTAGTGTGACGTTTGTGCACGAAATCTGGTCCCTTAATCATATAGACCATGTTGCCTATTTGTTTCTCAATAGTGCCGGACTCCCAAAAGGTCCTATTATTTCTATGCATCTTGTAGAAAACTCTTTCGCCAACTTTATACCGTTTTTTTGTTATTGGTTTTTTGAGGTTTGGCCTATCCTTGTGGAAAATTGATCTAACCTTGCGTCCGAACATGACCTCAGCAGGTGTCTTCGACGTTTTGATGTTTGCATTCGGAGTGACCCTGTAAACTGTAAGAACTGTTGGATTGACTTATCCGTCGGTGATCCACTAGCCTTTCTCAGGGCTCTCCTGAACGTATCCACGAATCTCTCCGCTTGCCCATTGCTTCTTGGATGGCATGGTGGAATGGTTATATGCTATAACTATAACTTTCAAGATATAATTGATTTAACGTTTCAAGTTGTCCTATATAGAATATCATTGGTGCAAGTATTGTTGGTCATTTGGTCCTTCCTTAACAATTCATTTAAGGGTGATCTTATATTGGTCCTCGCAGAGATGTTTAAATTCGGTAGACGTGAATTGCGTTCCATTGTCTGTGACAATGCAGTCTACAACTCCAAACCTATCGAATAGTTCATACAGGAAGTTAATAGCTGCCTCGGATGTGGGGTTCTTGCATTTCTGTACTTCCAGCCACTTAGATAGACTGTCTATAACAATGAGATAGTAGAAACCATCTAACGGTCCAGCAAAATCCAAGTGAATTCTCGACCAAGGTCGGTCCGGTTTTGCCCGCGAACCGAATTGAGTCGGAGGAGCTTTCATAGCTAATGCGCATCCTCTACACTCCCTGACTTTTTCTTCTATATCCTTATCCATGTTTGGCCAGAAAACGAAAGAGCGCATAAGGCTTTTCATTCTTGATATGCCTGGATGTCCTACATGGAATTCCTTGAGCATTCTTTTCTGTAATGTCGTAGGAATTACGACCCTGTCGCTATATAACAGGACGTTATCACAAATTGAATAAATTTCCTCATCCAGTTGGTTACTGTTGATTTTTTCTTTCGTGCTTATAATAAATTCGTCCACCTCTGCCTTACTTTTAATCTCATCAAGCGTTACTGGAAGTTCTCTTATCGTGTCACATAAAGTATTTTTTACTTCAACTTCCGCTTGAATGGCTGCTATTACCATATCCTCCAATGGTTCTGTGTGCTTAGGTATTAACCTTGATAAGCAATCTGCATGACCAAGTTTTTTAGATGGTACATACTCCATTTGAAAATTATAATTCAGAAGAATGGTACCCCATCTTTGGAGTCTATTCGCCGTATGTTGTGGTAGTCCCTTTTTCGATCCAAAAATCGTTAGTAAAGGTTTGTGATCTGTTTGTAACAGAAATTGTCTACCGTTCAAGAAACGATGAAATTTCTTTACTGCTTAGCGCCTCTTTCTCAATTTGCGAGTAGTTCTTTTCGGCTAGTAAAAGTGAACGGGATGCATGGGCTATGGGTTTTATTTTTCCATCATCCATTTTGTGTAGTATGCATGCTCCTATGCCATAGGCACTGGCATCGCTTGCAACTATAATATCACGCTTGGGATTATAATGTGCCAGAAACAAGTCAGACGTTAATATATCTTTAATTTCCTGAAATGCTTCTTCGCACTCTTGCGTCCAGACCCATTTTTGGTCCTTCCTTAACAATTCATTTAAGGGTGATCTTAGTTTATGCATATTTGGCACGAATACATTGTAATAATTCGCCAACCCTAAGAAACTTTGTAGAGACGCAATATTTTCTGGAGCAGGCATGTCCCTTATTGCACTCGATCTATCTGGATCCGGCCTTCTTCCATGTTCATCGATAATTTGCCCCAAGTATTTAATTTTTTCCATGAAAGAGGTACATTCCTGGATCCTTTTGAATACTTGGTTTACATGAGCTTTGTGTTGTTCTTTGCTAGCGCTGTTCATTAACACATCGTCCAGGTACCCTACTGCGAAGTCCAGCCCACTTAACATCATGTCCATTGTTTGCTGAAAAATCGCAGGGGCGACTTTGACCCCAAAAGGAAGTCTGTTAAACTTGTATAATCCCTTATGGGTATTGATGCATAGCAGCTTTGAACACTCCTGATCGACACTGATTTGTAAATACGCGTCACTGAGGTCGATTTTAGAAAAATATTTCCCTCCACTCTATTTCTTCAGGGCTCGGAAGGGGATAATGGTGATCCTTTAATGCATTGTTTAAACCTATTGAGAAATCGGCACAAACCCTAATCTCCTTGCTCTTCTTTTTTATGTAAACTGTTGGCGTAGCCCACTCACTGTGATCAATTTTTTCGAGGACACCCATGTCTTCGAGTCTTTCTAATTCAACGTCTATTTGTTCTATAGCGGCGTATGGAAGCTTTCTTTTCTTTTTGAACACTGGCTGTTCATTTTCTTTGACTTCAAATTTTTCTACCGCTTTTGTACACCTTCCAAGACCGCCTGTAAATACGTCTGGAAAATTCTCTTTTAACTCCCTCTTAAGTTTTTCTGCCTCCACATTCGAATCCTCAACTTTTTGACAAAAAAAAAGCTTAAAGGCAGATCCACATAGTCTAAATTTTTCGAACAGATCCGTTCCAAAGAGATTATTTGATTTTCGCATGACAAAAATTTTCGCTTTTTCGGTCTTATTCTGAAAAGAAATATTCGTCAATAATTCTCCTTCGAAGGTGATTTTTTCACCACTGACGCTTCTCGCCGTTTTATGTGATTTAATCATAGTGGGTCTCCCAAGCTTCTTTCATGTCTGTATATTAATAATGGAAATATCAGACACACTATCAAGCTGTAGTCTTACTTTCTTTTTAA